TGCCCCTATCAAAATGAGATGATGATAACAAGAAATTGTTTGGGAAAAAGAAATGATAATTTCCCATCAGCTGCTCACTGTTTCCTTTCCTTTCTGCTGGGTGCAGCTCCTACAAATGAGGCGTTTGTCCCCTTTGATGGCTGGTGTAAAATGAGCTTTGATGTCACGGAAGGAAATAATGTATTTAGATACAGCCTTTGCTCAGATCAGGCAGAGCTAATATAAATCAGGGTACTGAGGGGATCGGGAAGGGTGTGGAGAGGTTCAACTTGACCCTTTATCACCATTTTCTTTAACTTTCACATTAAATTAACTTTCCTGTTGTTCCATATCACTGTGTTACATCTTATTTTCCCCATCATGACTCTTTTGTTCCCCTGCAAAGCTTTTGAAGCAGATGAGAAAGGGAAACATCTTGTAATCATCTTTCCAGAGGGTACCTCCAGATCACAGGCAGCACATGGAAACAACGGGGAAAATAAAGCCTTGTCACACTTCTGCTAATCTTTCTTGGAAATGCCTTGGTATTACTTTGAAAACAACCGGTGCCTCATTGGGACTGTCCAGGATGGCAGAACGGGCATCCATTTCTATTGCTGTATTAAAATTCATACAAGGCACAAACAAGTTGCTGAGATTTTCATGCCACTGCTGCTGGGAGCTGAATAAAAATCACATTAAATTTACTTTACACTTCTGCAACAGCTGGCAGCCACGTCTTAAAGTGCTTTTCAAGCCTGTGCACCAAAGAAAAATCAGGATCCTTTCAAGTCAAGTTTTCCTGTTAATTTAATGTGGTTGGCTTTGCCAGTAGGACAGATTTTCCAACATGCTCAGCTGTTTCCCGAGTCTGGTCTCTTCTTTTGGTGGCTGAATTGAAGAGAATTGAAGAGAAGCTCCTGAAAAAAATAAATGACCCCGTGATTTCCCAGAATTCTAGCTCAGCCGGTCTTGGTCACTGACTGGAGGTGCTGGATGATGCCACTGTACAGGGGCCAAGCTCATGCTGCACCATCTCCAGACAACCCCAGGAACAGCATCCAAACCTCCCGGATTTATAACAATCCTGGAAATATGGCAGATCTGCTGTATTCTATTTTGGTGATGCAAAAAGCATAAAGCATGCAAAACAAAGTGTATTCCCTTATAGCATGTTTCCTCCCTGAAAATGTTATCACAGCCTTAAACAGCTTTGGAAAAGGGGAAAAAGAGAGAGGGAGGATGCAGCACGTGCATGCAAAAGGGCAGGTTTGGGCTGAATTCATAATTTTTCAAGAAACTTTTCACTTCAACAGAAGCTGTTCTCCATGGGATAAAAACAATGCCAGCAGGGCAATGGGACATCAGCCTGAGCCACATGGCTTGACGATTTCTGCTTGCAAAGAGCTGTACTCTTATCTGCAGAAAAATTACTCAGAAGGGGATGATGCAATGATGTTGGGGTGCTGGTGTAATGTTTTTATGTACGCTTTCTGGTCCTGAAGCTTGCCGTGCTCCGGGCTTTGCAAACCCATGCAAAAGGAGATCCCTTTGCGGGATGGGATGGGGAGCTGGTCTCTGCAGGAGTGAGCAGCCACGGTTTGCCCATGTACCTGGGAGTTTCCTTGTTTGTATTGTTGTAAGTTAAGTCTTTATGCTGACAAGTCTGGGCTTCTGGATGTCAGAATTAAAATACACCTGGTCTTCTTGGCCTGCGACCAAAACGCAAACCTCCAGGGTCTAATTTCCTTAATGAATTTAGCTCCTAACATTGAAACTGACCTGCTGGTGACACCCCTCCAGGTATGACTCTGCCGCCTCGCCTTGTGCCAGCTGGGGACCCAGCGCCATGCTCCCCTTTTAACCAGCCCCAGCCCCTCCTGAAGCAAATATTTGGGCTCTTTGGACATCCCAAGCAGACGGCACCTCCTGGCCCACAGCTGAGATGCTGGTTAAAGCCCTCTGCAACCAGCCTCTCCCCAAGGGCTGAGCAAAACTGTGTTGGTGATGGTGTGGAAATCGCTCTTGCTCAAGACAGGAAGGCAAGAGAGGCCGTTAGAGCATCTCGTTTGAAGGGTTGACCTCCCAGCCATGACGTTGGGTTTCTTCTTTGCTTATGGTGCAGGGAAGGGGTCTGAAGACCCCGCCGAGCTGCTCTGGCAGCATCCCCAGCTCTCGCAACCACAGGGTTTGCAGTTCATGCACAGAGAGGCAATAAAATACTATGGTAAGCCAGCGTGGGGCACTGAATTTGGTGGCACAGAACAAGTTTCCATCAGTAGCTGGATTTTTTGGCTTAGTAGGAAACTCCATGGAGAAGTGCATCCTGCTCAGTTGCTGAAGCGTGGGGCATCATGCTAGCTGAGCCAGAGCGTGCACGGAGCACAGTGAGCGCAGCACCTGGGACTTGCAGGGAGACGTCCCCAGGGGTGTTAAAGAAAGGCGAGCGGAGAGGGAAGAATAAAAAAATAGAGAGGAAACAGCTTTTCCGGCTGCCCCCACACTGAGGCATTGCTTCCAGAGGTGGCTTTGGAGGCTCAGCTAACCAAACCGGAAAGCAAAGCTGCCTTCGTTGTCCAAAAAGCTTAATGAAATCCTACAAATAAAAATATAAAAAAAGCTTAACTGCCCCAAAATGGACAGTTTCTAGCATGAAAGGGACAGTGGGATGTTCGGCAGCAGCCACAGCCCTGCTCCGGTTTCCTTGGACTTTTTAGGCTATTTCTCTTGCAGCTAGTGCCCTCTCGTGGAAACCTCTCATCTGCTCCATTTTTACTTTTTTTTCCCCAAAATGAGATGATTGCCCCGCAGAGAGGAGCACACACACAGAGGCTGCGGTTCTGCCCAGGCCCAGCATGGCCAGTGGTGCCGGGGACCGGCTTGTGCCTTCCCACCCGGCACCGGGAAGGAAGATCGTGTCGGGATGGAGGATTGCAACCCCATGAAACCCACCACAAGATGAAGCCTTCCCAAATCAACGTGCTCCATGGGGGCAATCCAGGATGGTCTGAGCCCAACCCCACTGGTGCTAAGGGAAGGTCTCCCGCTGGCACTATCACAAGCTGCCGCCTGCTTTGCTCCCCCTCCTCTCCTCCTGAAAAGCACAAGATAATTGGGAATGGGAGCAAAAGGTGAAGACAACGTTCCTCTCAGATGTCCAAATGTCAAAACTACGCGGGCACGAAGCTGGGGGCAACAAAGAGCCGGTGGGATTGATGTGGCCAGCAGGGACAGGAGCAGGATGCAAGATCAGCCCCCTGGGAAAAGCGATGCCTGAGTTGGCGGAGCAGCAGTGCCATCGCCTGGAGCCCTCCACCAAGGTGCTCTCCTCCAGGCAAATCCCAAAGCGAACACAAACACACGTTACTTTTATTTTTCCATAGCTGAGACCTCTCCCAGAGCATGAAGGCTCCCTGGCAAAGGGGGCAAGCTTCATGCCAGGCTTTGTGCCAGCCTTCCCTTATGCCAAAGCATCAGGAGACTGAGCATCCCTGTTCTTTCCATTTTTCAACCCAAAAGCATGGGGAACGCTGCCGGACAGGCTTCACATTGGTGCTGGCAGCAGCAACGCCAGCGAGGACCACCCTGCCACAGCTGGGTCGGGCTTGCACTGAGACACCCTAATTTTACATCGAGGTGGTGCAGATCTTGAGCACGGCTGGGGGAAACTCTCCTGTAAAGGGCTGGAAGGGCGCCTGGTTGAATAGGAAGAATAGATGTTCTTGGGGATGGTGTTTGGGGCAGTGCTGGGGATGGAAGGCGGCAGGGGAGTGCTGGGGGCAGGCTTTGTTCGAGGGATATGGGGCTGCGGGCGATGGGGGAAAGCAAATTCATTGTATCAGAAAGCAAAGGTTTGCAGAAAATGAGGTGCCTGGGTTAATTTTACCCTAAAAATTAAGAGTTTCCATCTGTGGCCCCAGTAATTGCAAAGATCTGGTGACAATCCTGCCATTTTCCACCGGTTCATGCGCAAATGTACCTCAAACTGGGGCTGCGCTCTGTGCCGCAAACGTGTTCAAACCCCGTCCTTCAGGCATAAATAAGTTAAAAAAAAAAAAAAAAAAAAAGCTGAAGTCATAAATAGGGCTCCTGAGCCCTGGGGGGTCCCAGTACAGCGCCTGCAGACAGGACCTTGCTGAGGATGGGAACCGGAGCCACAGAAAGGCCACGGCGGAGGGGCGGTCCTGCCTATAAAATAGCATGTACGCAGTTATGTGCCATTTTAGCATATTGTCTGCTATTCTGGCACACATACTATTTTATAGAATATAGGTACACATATATTTCGTATATGTAACGTGTAATAAAAGAGGTAGCGTCTATGTCTTACGCATCATGTAACATGCGAGATATACATAGAAAAACCTAAACACAAATCTCTTTATTAGACACAAACACACACAAATAGTGGGGGAAAATACATAAAAAATATATAATATTTTATATTATATATAAAATATATATTCATATTTATATTTTATATTTATTATATTTTATTATTTATTATTAATTTTATTT